CTGCTTTCAATCCAAACAAAGATAAAACCTATACCATAATTGCCATTAATACACAGCTGCAATTTTGTTGCCTTTTGTCTCACCCATACCATTCTCATTCTCCCTTTCCTATCTTCCCTAAACTTCACAAAGCATGAAACTTCCTGTTAAAATATAGTAGGGGCTATTTTAGCTCTTCCAGGTTCACTTAAACAAAGACAAGATAGAGGGTTCATCTTGTCATTCAGATCATATTACATGTTGCATTGTCAATAAAATTAAAATGCAAGTATTCAACCAAAATGTGGGATTTTTATGGTCATCCATCAGGACCAGAGGTGGGCTCCTACCAGTTCAGACTGGTTCAGCCAAACTGGTAGTGGTTTGCCAGCCTTGGTCGCCAGAACCAGCAGCAATCCCGGCCTGCCATGCCTCCAAACTGGTTCCCCGGTTGGCACGGCATGTTTTTTTTTTATGGTCTGTGCATGCGCAGACCTATTTATGGGCAACTGTGCATGCGCGCGAAGCACCAAATTGGGCCCGCACTGAACCGGAAGTAATGCCAGCAGCAACCCACCCCTGATCAGGACATTTGTTTTTTATGATATTTTAAGAGGAAGTTTCATGCTTTGTGAAGTTTAGGGAAGATAGGAAAGGGAGAATGAGAATGGTATGGGTGAGACAAAAGGCAACAAAATTGCAGCTGTGTATTAATGGCAATTATGGTATATGTTTTATCTTTGTTTGGACTGAAAGCAGAACCCAATGGTTATGCTAAAAGATTATAGGAACAGAATAGAAATAAATATAGAAATAAATAAATAAATAAAGTAAACAAACAAACAAACACACACACACACACAATGTTTAACTGAGGAGAACCTACCAGTATGTATTTTTGAGATAATTTGAGGCACGGTAATAAGGCAAAGCTGAATTAGTAATGAAATTCTGAGTAATGACTCTCAGACCTTTTTGCTTAATATAGCTACTATGTTTTAGAATTAGACCACATTTTAGAATATTGATACAACATCTTTATTTCTTCAACTGAACTTGCTTCACAAATGTCACGTTATGCTTTTTTAGCAACTGAAGCATCCCAATTTGGTCAATCTTCTGGAGGTCTTCCGGAGGAAACGAAAGCTTCACTTGGTCTTTGAATATTGTGACCATACAGTCCTTCATGAGCTCGACAAGAATCCACGTGGGTAAGTTGCCGACTCATGAAATTCATAGAAACAGAGCCGTTATAATGCCCATACCTCTCCGCAGACTTTTCTTGCTAGATGTAACAGATCTGCAACCATCAATCCTGAAGGTTAAAAAAAGGCCACTGTGTAGTTGCCATGGATTAAGGCATGCTTGCAAAAGAATGGTTTGAGAGCTTGCTGTGGACTCTTGCAAAGGAGATAATGTGGCTGAGATGGGATCGTGTATGCTAAAGAAGGGAAATAACTTCTCTTTAGGCTACTCCTGAGCATGGTCATCTCATGGCTGGTGTATTGCGCTGCTGTGACAGCGCAACACAGCCATTTGCCCCTGAGGCTGTGCCTGGCTCTTCGGGCACCCGCTCGCAAGAGAGCAGCCACCCAGCAACCCCAAAATAATAACCCCCCCATAATAAGACCCAACCAATATTTTAGGGGTCAAAAGAAAATAAGACTGTATCTTATTTTCAGGAAAACATGGTAGAAGGCCACCATATTCCAAAATTATTTTGGTTAGCTTAAACAATTAAAGAAGACAAAAACACTTTAAAAAGTGAGATTAAAAAAGATAGATAAAAATCACTCAGGACTTAAAGTACTGCATAAAACCTGTCAGGGACTCACAAACAACCTAACTCCAAGCTTGTTCATAAGAGCACGTTTCCAGGTTGCTACTAGATGGCACTGTTTAATGTTGGGGACCTAGAGCACTCTCACTTTGCCCAATTTATTGATTGGGTGAAAGCCATTGGAGACAGATAACCAGGACCTATGAAGGGGTTTATAACTGACAAGTGTGCACCCAGACGCCAAATGGCAACCAATACACTGGTTTTCAACCAGTAGTTGTGAACCTTTGGAAAACTCTAAATTGCACATTGGTCTCAAATGGGGAAGCACCATCCCATCCAAAGCAAAAGGTAACAAATTCTGAGATCCAGAGGCTCATAACAGCTACAGTGACTCAATATGAGAATAGCCTCCAGGCACCACTAAGCTTGTTACAATGCATTTACTCTGTGCATTAGCTCTTGTAAATAGTCTATTTCTTAAATACCAATCAGTAACTGTATAGTTTTAATTTTACTCCATGCTGGAATGGCATATTAATGCTGTTCTTTTAGATAATTGCGAGCCACCCAGAGTCATAAAATAAATAAATCAAACAAATAAATGTTTACCATTTGCCGTAGGTTTATAAGATTCTAATAGAGTCTACACTAGAATAAAAAGGGCAATCAAACAATTAGAGCAGTGTTTCTCAACCTTGGCATTCGCTGGCTGGGGAATTCTGGGAGTTGAAGTCCGGACATCTTCAAGTTGCCAAGGTTGAGAAACACTGAATTAGAGGATTAAGGTGATTCCTTTCTTTCGGAAAACCTATACAGCAGTGATGGTGAATCTTTTCAGCACCGAGTGCCAAACCGGAATGTGCGTGCACATGCGCACACATGTACACTCTTGCAGGAGTCCCAGAAATTCAAATACCACCTGACTGGTGTGCATGCGTTTGCTGGCCACCTGGTCTTTGGGTTTCTGGGGCTCCAGCATGCGTAAAGATCAGCTGGCCGGCGCACATGCGTACCAGAAACCAGAAGAGCATTTGGCAATGGCACGCATGCCAACAGAGAGGGCTCTGCATGCCACCTCTGGCATGCGTGCCATAGGTTCATCATCACGGCTATATAGTATTTGGAGTGTTTGGCTCAGAAAGTAGATAAGACAACATAACAAAAGTATAAATCAGGCATGCCATAAGAAATGGGAACCTAATATATTTCTGG